ATACAGAATGGGGGTGCTACTGGCTACTTTATATACACATTCAGATGTGGCTGTGCAAACCTGTGTATGTACATAGCACAGATTAGAATGCTTCTTGGGTCTAAAATAGTAAGGGGTGAGTAGGGTTTCAGGCTATTATAGCTAAAAGCTGTAGCCTAGTGTCAATCATGTCAAAATTGCAGTGCAGAGACAGCACAGAGTTTCAAACTAATTTTTAGTTTGGACTTGTGAGGCAGTGCATAATGAGAAGACACAAGTCCGGAAAGTTGTGCATGTTTCATATGCCAGGTCATATGTCAGAGTTGGCAGACAGCTGACAGAGTGTCATATTGCTGTATTCCAAGTGTGATGACTAAGCTCTGCAGTGTGATGACTAAGCTCTGCAGCTGAAATCAGGCACATCTTCATGTCCATAGTGCATAGTCTCAGCTGGTGTGAATTTTCCCTGGAAAGTGAATCTCATGTGTGTTTCTGTATTCTTGCCTAACAATTTTCAGGCATGACATCCGCGGGCGAACAGAATATCCAACTGTCCCCAGTTGGGAATACAGAAACCACCTGAGACTTCTCGTTCCAAGAACAATTCACATCCAAATAGGCCAAGAAATAATGTTCAGGGGGAGGGAATGGATATTTACATCAAGAAACCCATTGTCCTGCTTGCCGCGCTCATTACGGTAGCCGACGCATCTCCTCTTCTATTGACCCTGCATAGCAATGTGCACTGAATGTGCTCAGCGAGGGTTCAGGCGAGGCGGCACGGTGGGTAGTCGTTGTAGAGACGTGAATGGAAATGGGTGGGGGCAAGGGAGGAATGATGAAGTCGAATGTCGGAAGGGGAATAGTATTTCGGCGCCGGAAGCGATGTAATGGGTTAATGTGCGATGGCCACTTGCGGCACTAGTTCGCAAATTAGTGCCCCGTCATCTTGAAATCGTTTTTGCTACGCACTGCTTTGGCCATCCTCCCACTCATTCACAAAGGGCTCCAGCAGAGGGTACATCTTGTGTTCTGAAAGACGACCGGACTTTGGGGAAGGGCTGGACATTGAATGGGGGTGGTGGTGGTAGGGAGTGAGAGCGGTGTGAAGGTCGTTCTGAACGCATGGTACTTGAGTGCTTCGGATGTGGTGCCGCAAGACTTCAAAAGGAACAATTACGAAACTAGAAGAACCAATGGCTTCCAATTACGCAGACTCGTCAGAGCTTGATCCGCCTGTCAAGTCTTCCTCGAGGGAACTACTGCTGTCAGTGTCAGCACCGTATTTCATAAAGCTGTGGCGCCGGGTTATGTAAGGTAGTAGTCGGAAGGCTGCCACAGGGTTCATGGCAAAAACAGCTCCATCAAGTTCGCTGAGGATGTAAGCTCCCCCTGCATTCTTCCTGATAACCTCATATGGTCCCAAGTACCGGTCCTCAGTTTTTCGCTTCAGGCCAACTTGATTCTCAATCCCGATGTTGCGGATTAAGACTAGTTCACCAGGGACATAGTTGTCCTTCTGAAGACGATGCTTGAACTTTCGCTCGAATTGTGCCTTAGAATGGAAACGAGCGGCTTTGAGAGCTGATGCAGCACGTTGCACATCACTGTTAAGCTTGCTGAGTTGACGTATTCGAAGCGCAAGAAGTTCAGTAGTGTCCATGTTGGTGCGGAAGCCCGTGACCAGGAACGTAGCCTCTGTCAAATCAAATGGGAGGATCGGGTCGCTTCCGTGAAGCAGCTGATAAGGGGAGAAACCTGTGCCATGCTTTACGGTAATGCGGTCTGCAAGGAGTGCCAAAGGTAACTTCTCTGGCCATGTGTCAATTCTGCTTCCACATGCCTTTACCAGTGCCTCGCGAAGCGTGAAGTGTCCCCGTTCCACTACACCATTGGCATGCTTATTGTATCCAGATATGCGGACATGAGGAACTCGGAGCCGCTGCATCAGTTCGGCAAATCCAGCCTTGACTTCTGATCCGTTGTCCGTAATCACTCTGCGGGGGCAGCCATAGCGACAGTAGATATGGGTCCAAAAGAACTTGGCCAGTGTAGCAGCTGTGGCGTCCTCAATCGCTATTGCTTCCACCATACCGGTGAGATCATCGCGAGCGGCAACAATCTTGGTGAATTTTCCGGCCTGAGGCATTAGCATGATGTCGATGTGTAGCTTTTGAAAAATGGCCACTGGAGTGGATACGGTGATTGGCTTTTCTAGCTTTCGAGTGCTGCGGACTTGACAGGTGTGACATGAGGCGACGTGATGCGAAATATCATTGCTCATTTTTGGCCAAAAGAAACGATTTCGCAGCATTTCCCATAAGGCACGAACTCCTTTATGTCCCAACTCTTCATGAGCTTGTGTTAGTATTTGGAGTCGAGCATTAGGGTCGGTAATGACCCTGAGAGGTGGTCCATGTGGATTTCGTTTGAAGAGCTTCCCATCCTGCATAAAATATTGAGAGGCTTGCCTTAAGAAACGCTGATGCTTCTGGGGAGTGGGAAACTGAGGGGATTCTAGAGTCTTCAGGAAGTGTTCAATGTGACGCAAGTCTGCCTCTTGTGCTGATCTGGCGAGATGAGATGATGGTAGGGATAATGCTGGATCAGGAAATGATGGAGGGTTCACCACTTGGACTAATAATGCAATCTCATCCAACCAGGAGTCATCATCATCTGCTGCCTCTTCTCCTGGAGCTAGTCCACGTCTTGACAGGGCATCAGGTCCTTGGAACTTGGTTGCTGGAACGTGCACTAGAGTGAAGTCAAACATCAGAATGCCTTGAATCCATCTGTTAACTGCGGCATCGGGCTGCAAGTCTGGGCTGTTAAGTAGGCCTTGAATGTACTTGGCGTCCACTTCCAACCGAAAATTTCGTAGACCAATGATGTGTAAGCGCCAATGCCGAAGCGCGCGATATACTCCAAATAACTCTAACTTTGGCTGTGAGTACCGGGATTCACGTTCACTCATAGGCAATGATCCATAACGTGCAGGTCGCCTACGTCCTTTTTCATCAAGTTGAGATAAGATCATGCCAGTTCCCTCTTTGCTGGAGTCTACTGATAGGATCACAAGATGATCGCTTTGGTAATCAATAGGCGTTAGCGCAGGTGCTGACATAATCAACTCTTTGATGTGGCGGAAAGCACTATCTCGGCGTTCGGTCCATTCGAAATCAACATTTTGCCGGTATAGTTCCGTTAATGGGCGAATGATGGTGGAATAATTTGGAATCCAAATTCGCACAGTTCCGCAAAGGCCAAGGAATCGCCGTACCTCTTTAGGGGAGGTGAGAATAGGCCAGTCCATAATCGATGATATTTTCTTGGTATCAGGAACTCGTCCTTCGGGAGTGCAACGTTGCCCTACAATAAGTGCTTCCCGTCGACAGACTTGAACTTTGGTACCAGAAAATGTGCCACCTGCACATTTGACCTTATGCATAATACGATGGACATCAGTGGCATGTTCCCAGATAAATTGTCTGATTCCGGGGTTTTCCGGAAGTGTACGGGGGTGTCCATGATCATCTAAGTAGGCCGATCGAGGTCCTTTGATGGGTAGATCATCAATGAAGACATTTGCTATATGTGGAATTTCGTCTTGAAGTATGAATACCATGCATTTCTGGAATTCTGCAGGTGAATTAGTGTATCCTGTAGGCATTGAAGTTATTCGGAGAAGTCCTAAAGGGGTCATAAATGCGGTCATGTCACGGCTCTCTGGTTCCATCTTGCGGGCATCGAAACCCCAGTAGAGATCAAAAACAGTGTAGCATTGCCTGCCAGCAAAGCCTTCTACAAAATCGTCCACAATAGGCAACATTCCTGCATCACGAATTGTGACTTTGTTCAATGGTTGCAAATCATGCACAATGCGTAGTTTTCCCGTTTTCTTCAATACACAGAACCATCTGGACCTGTAGGATGACTGACACCCTTCATATACTCCTGCTTCCATCTTTAGCTTGAGTACTTCAATAACTTTATCCAAAATCCCAGGGGGTATGGGAATGTTCTTGTACTCCCAAGGGGTATGAGGGATAGTTGACATCTTGTAGGGGGTGAAATATTCATCTTTGAAGGTGCCTCTTTCCTTGTCTTCAAAGGCCAATGCTGTTTCATTTAGCACAAGAATGTGTTTGATCAGCTTCTCTTCTTCAGATGTTAAGAACCCATCTGCATTAACTTCTAGTTGTGCCATTCGCTCATGTGAGATTCGTGGAGTGGGCGTAAAGTCCGGGGGAGTTTGGGTTAAATGTGGCAGGGATTTCAAAGGATCTTCAGGAATGGTGCGCTTCACCTCATATTCTGGTGAAAATGTTGTAGAGACTGGTCTGATCTTCTTGTCAACCCTCTTGTACATAGTGAAGGCTTGGAAGCCTTTGCCATGCTCATCAGTCATTTCCACTGGGTAGAATATGTATTCATCATCATCTTCCCAAATGTCTGCATCACCCTCTGGTGTGAAGCCCAAACAGTGTTTTTGCATTGTGGCAGAAGTCCAGTCATCAGTTCTAAAAGCAAAGCAGCTAAGTCCATCTTTGCAAACTGGAGCTGGTGTGCTTTGAGCTGAAGGCAGCAGAACACTCTTCCTCAAGATCCACTCTACCACAGATAGCTGCACATGTTTGAATTGCAAACATAGCTGTACAGAGAAGTGCAAAATACTACAAACTAGTTTGTAGCAGAAGCACAACAGCCAGGGTGTAGCATCAGAGATAGAGTGTAAAGGAGAGAAGGCAGGAAGAGGGGAGCTATGTGGTAGTGAGGGAAGCCAAGAAGGGGGAGCTGCAAGGGTGGCCATAAGTAGCAGGCCCAAGAAAATTAGTAAGCTGATGGCAGATGTCGTAGGGTAGTTGATGGTAACTGTGGGGAATGGTGGCAAGAAGGTGGCAGTGGTGGTACAAGGGAACAAGAAAAACACAAGAACTTTCAAGAAGTATGTACCATTGTCCATTCTGTAAGCAGCAGATGTTAGGACATCCGCGGCGAACAGAAGAGAGTAGTACCCACCTCTACGAAGCCTGTTGCATTTGGGCGTGAGCATCGTCGATGACCCGGGCAATCGCAGGGTCGATAAAGGCGGCGTGGGAGCTGTCGGAGACGCGGACTGTAGGGCGGATTCTTCGGAGGTATTCGGCGGCATCACTGATACCCTCAAGGGGGTCGGAAGCGCTGCTGGAGGACGAGCTGTAAAGGTACTGAAGCCCCGCGAACTCCCCGCTGCTATCGGAGGGGGTCTGTACGCTAAAGCTATCTGAGCTGGGGGTTCCATCACCATTCTCCGCACTCGCGATGAGATCACGAAGGAAGATGCCATCTGCATCGGAAGGGAGGGCGATGTCGAAGAAGTCGTTGTCCCGCAGGTGTCGCAAGACTCGCTCGGCAGCCGGGATGTAGCGCACCCCAATGCATTCTTCCAACATACCCACCTCGAAGTGGCGGCCGGCCTCGTGACACGCGTCCAACAAAACCTCCAACATGGCCACCACCTTCGCGTCCAGAACGGGGTGGTCGATAAAATGGAACCGTAAAGTTTCCGCGCCGCGCTTCTCTGCCCATCGCTCCGCAAGGCGGGGAGCCAATTCGGCATCTGGGCAGACAATTGGTAGCAACTGCTCAATAAGCTCCTCGCTGGCACGTCGCGCCATGCTTGCGGGGCCGTGAAGCTCGACTTGTGGCGGCGCTGCCCGAAAAAAATGATTAGATTGATTCGGGGCTGGCGCGGAAAAAATATGCGTACTCGGGGTAGGTTCATGTCGGGCTGTGTTGAGGTCTACCCTGTAGGCGGGGTGCTCCGGGCGGGGTCGATAGAGAACAACGGGTCCGGTTGCGTGGGTGTCAACTAGATTAGCAAGGTCGTGCCGCAGCGCGCTTCGAAGTGCGAACAGCGGCATGACAGAGACCGCAAATTCACTCCGCAGCTTCGCCCCAAGACCATGCATCACGTTTCGAACGTCGCGCGCAAGGTGCTGGTTCTCTGTCCGCGGGCGACTAGACACGCGGCCGGGCGCGCGTGAGTCGGATGGAGACGGAGTTGCAGCCAGGAGTGTCTCCAAGTCGACCATGCTCCATCGATATTGCCGCCACTGAGCGTTCGTGAGTGGTGGTGCCGTGAAGTTATAGTCGTATTGGAGTGACTGGAGGCGCTCTTGCGCGCATGGGACTCCGCCGGCGACATAGAACGTGGCGTGTCCACCAGATGGGTGGTGTACAGAAGATGTGGCGATTCGGGTTGCGAGACACTCCGCGGAACGTCAGGCAGAGACTGTGGACGCGGGCGCGGAGCCTCAAGACCAGGCGGGGACATCTGGAAGTTGTCACCCATCTCCTCGTCGCTTGTGTCGAAGTGGATGGAAGACAGGGCACGCGGAGGAGCAGCAGTCGCTGGCTGTAAGCGAGTATCCACCAACGGAAGGTCTGGGCTTGCGAGCGCTCGAAAGATGGGAGCTGGAGGACGCGCAGGAACGCGATTCTGGTCGTGTCGCAGGGGGCTAGCGGCCGTAAACGTCTCCACAACGGTGCGCAAATGCTCCAGATTTGTCTGCGAGGGCGGTGGGTCTACATGTGTGTCTGGGGAAAGCGCAGCCGCATAACGAGCAGCAGTCGCGTTGGCAGCGGGCGGCAGCGGCTCGGATGCGCTTCCGGTCGATGCAGGCGATGTTGCATCGCGCGACAACAATGGGCTGGCAATGGACAGTATGTCTGCAACCAAACGCGGCTGCTCTCGAGTCATTTGCGAGGGCAGTGAGTCCATGTGAGCATCAGGAGAGAGGGCGGCTGCCAGATCATTCGCCGACGCGTTGGCAGCGAGTGGCGACTGCTCGTACGCGTTTCTCGCTGTGGACGACTGTGCATCGCTGCGGGACGCGTCAGCGACGACAGCTGCATGCTGCTCGGCGACGTACCGCAACAGTTTGCGCTTAATGGCGTGGGCTCGCACGCAGATGACACAACCGTTGGGGTTGTGCGCGGGCAAGGTGCACTCGTGGTAGGTGGGAGGCAAGAGACGTGGCCGCGCCACTGCTTGACAGATCGGATCAGCGGTGCGTGGCCGTGCTGACACGTGTGACTTACGTCTCGCGTCTCTCTCGCTCTCCTCTGTCTCTTCTTTCGAAAACGCCTCAGCGCGTCCAGCAAACGAACGCTTAACGCCCGCCGCGGCTGGAACTCCGATATGGAACACAAACGGCCCGTTCGGGACGGGCTGGGACGGCGGCTCTTGTGCGGGAAGCGCGTCGACGTGGCTGCGGGATGACAAGGTCGGAGAGCCGGGGTAAGACGAGTATGGGCTAGTGGAAACGGACTCGAGCGACGGCATACTGGATGGCGTTGCGGGGCGGCTTTCAGAGGCCGAATCAGCAGGTGCGTGCTCCGCAAGCCATTCGTCGTTATTGAACAATGCCGCATGGGCTTCTCCCCATGACTGCACCCATCCGCGGTCGTCTTCATCGCCTCCAGGCTCCGTGATGGACTCGCGGTCGAGCTCCTCTGCACTATGGTTCATGCTGGACTCGTCGGGTTGTTCGGCACCTGACTGGGCGTCTGTTGGCTGCTCCGGACCAGGCTCCTGGGCGTCTGCCATCTCAACGTCGCCATCTGACTTGTCGGAGTTGGTGTCGTCATCGTCAGTGTCTGACTGCAGGTGAGTGATGTCCCAAGGCTGAAGATTTTGCTGACCACTAGGCCCCCAGCGCTCTTGGCAGTACTGGTAAACCTCCCACATGCGCTGGGTGTTCTTCTCAACACGCGCCAAGTCGTTCAATGCTGCCCGGAGGTGGGTTTGAGCGCCGACTTGCGCCCCGCGATGAGCGTTAATCAACGCCAGCTCCACAGTACGCCACGCATCGCATTGCTCCGTAGTCAGCGCCGGCTCCATTACCCGCTCATGGACAACCTCCAGCAACGAATGCAGAACAGAAACTTGCACGAATGACGATTCTGTGGCGGTGGCGGTAAAGCGAAAATCCCGCTCACTTTCAAGAACTCTGTCGACCCGGTATGCTTCGTCCTCCATTACCATTCGCAGTTGGCGTTCGTTGTGTGCGGATAAGGTGGCGGTCGGCGCGAAGAACTCAAGCCGGACTGGGGTCAACTGATCGAGCGGCGACGGCTCTGCGTCGAGCACCTCTCGCGCGGCCGCCACGAATTGGTCCGCTCTGTCGCTCAGCTGCGGAATGCGCGGCCCGATAAGTGCCTCCACCTCGGCCGCGTACTGCTCCGAACGCGGGAGTCCAAGGCTGGGGAGCGGGGTCAACGGAACTGGCGGGGGAGATGGCGCCACACGACGGGCACTGTCGTGTGCTGGCGTGACTGCTCCCTCCGCTCGAGTGGGAGCGGCTGGAGGAAGATGTGCTAGTGGCGGAAGGGAAACGGTATGTGCTGAAGTTCGTAGGCTGGACACGGCCTCTAACGGCGCGCTGTGGGGGGCCGCGTGTGGCAGTGGCAACGGGTCTAGCGAGGTATGGTTCCTGGGAGACGTGGGACTCAGCTCGAGCTGAGCCGTAAGTGGCGGAGGCGTGTGCGGTGAGTCGGGGAGTGGGCCGGCCTCCGCGTGGTGGTCCACGCCATCTTCGCTGGTTCGGTTGGCCTCGGCGGGGGCCTGTGGGAACTCGCCCCGCCGACTCTGCAAGTAGGTGAGTGGTGAATCCGCCATTCCAAACGGCAGACTGACCGCTTTCAGCTCCCGCTGGAGGGATTCCCACATTCTCCGGGCTCCGCGGTACAATGGGACAGCGGGCAACGGTGTAGTAGGGAGGTGGCGGGATGGTGCGGAGGGGAGAAGGAACTGCGGAGGAGGCGGAACGTGGAATGCGGGGTCGGATAGGGATGATGGGGGAGGCGAGGTCGATGGTAATGGTTGGGGTGGATCCATGTCGAGATGATTCGAGGTTGTGTGAAGAAGCCAGGGAAGTAATTTGGGTAACCGGTGTAATATCGTAGCAAAATTCTGAGTTGTTGTTAGTGGGGATTCCAGAGCGACATCCAGTGGCTTATATACTGCCTGCTCTTCGGGTCCCTCTGTCCCGTTTGGGTTTGGCTGGCCGGGACGGCAAGTGTCACGGATCCTGCTTGTCACAAGTGACACAGTTGGACTATCCGCGTGACTTGCTGTTGACAGCGGGGCCAGCGACAAGTGTGACAGGTGTGGCAGTGACAAGTGTAACAGTTTGTCCACTACGAAGTTGAGACACTTGTTTCAACTCTGACTCACTCTTGTCAGCTCCCAGAATCCTGAACAAAGTCTTCAGAACTGTATAGCAAGCAGCAATCCAGAAAATAGCAGTGAGTGTGATTATTTCAACCACAATATGTTCACCATTTTGCCATTCCTGTTTGGCGCCTTCAGCCCAATTTGGCACCCATGTCATGTCGAATACTGTCCATTTTGGCGCATCTTCCTGCACTGCATCAGAACCAACCTTGCCATTTTCGGGCAAGTCCGGAGCCAAACCTAAACAAGCCAGTGATTGGAAATGAGAATTTCCATGTTCGAAATCATTGTCCTCAGGTGTTGCTGCCAGTAGTTCCAAACGGGGTTGGTCTGTTCTGGCATCCTTGAAGACTAGGTAAGTTCCTTCTCGACGTTCATCAATACTAACTTTGTTGGCTCTTTGCCAAGGGCGTCCTAGGAGTAGTTCAAAGGGAGCTTTTTCGGACACCCACAGGTCTGCAGTTGTATGCAAGCCTCCGCAGATTAGTTCAGCTCCACGAATTATTCCGCATAGTTGTCCTGATCCTCCATTTGCATCATTCATGTTGATTGCACGTGTGGTGTCCACAACTCGCTTGATTCGCTGCCGAGCTAAGTCTCCTCGGACTACATTCAGCTGTGATCCAGTATCAATGATGGCCGTAATTATGGAGCCATTAGTCACCATATCTACCTTGATGAGCACTCCATCCATTCTAGGCCAAGCATAATTGCCAACTATGGCCTTTGGGATTTTCTTTGCACTCATGAGGACAGCTTTAGGATTTTTGACCTTGACCATGTCTGTGAATTCAGTACGCACATCCTTGGATACTTCCATGAGCTCTCTGAGGCTCACTTCCACTTTTGTGTCCAGGATGCGATTTGTGACATCACTTCGATTCACTGTACTGGATATGGCAGATTGGCGAATTGGAGTCAGCCGGTTCTCCTTGTCTTTCCCCTTCTCTCCTTTCTTGGGTCCATGGTTTGGGTCCCGAGGCAAGGGAGCAGTATGTGAACGAATAGGCTTCGCATCAGGCATTTCTATGTCGATCTCTGATGCTTGAGTACGAGGCCTTCGGGGAATTTCTACCACTGGTTTCAGAATAGGCTTTACTGGTGGGGTAGGAGGTCGCGGTGGCGGTTTCGGAGGTGATTGCCGAGATACAGGTGCTGGGTCCTGGAAAGGTTTCGTCTTGGGTTGAAAACCTATATCTTCATTTCGAACTGCTGCACGTGTTCGGTGGGGAGAATAATTTCCTTCAGATACTTCATTCCGAGCTGTTCGGGTGCTGGGTATTTGTCTATCAGCCCCATACACCTCAGAGTTGGTGGCGTTATCTCTGCTCTTAGGAATAGACAAGTAAATGGTTCCATCAGTATCATCATAGGTAGTATACCCTGAGTCAACATCAGAGATCTCTGAGTCAGACTCATATGATGATAGCTCATTGGCCATAGCTAGCTGATAGAAATTCTTTACTGCCTCTTCAGTCCCAAGCAGAGGTTTCACAAAAGTAAGCATCACTGCAGAGCTTTGCTGACCTTGTGTAAGCCTCTCTACTGCTTGAACAATAGATTCACCAGGCATCCTGCGTAAAGGCACTCCGGACTTGAGCTGCAACCTTCCTGTTTCTGCATGATGAGTCAGAGTCCCATTCTGAAGTAACATGTTGATCTTGTCACAGTTACTTATTCTGTGACCTTTCTCATGACATCCATAGCAGGGCTGTTCTCCCAAGGGTACATTGTTAGGGAAGGTGGCCGGGTAACCATTGGAGGAATAAGGGCGTTGGGGTGGTGTGGTAGGCTCAGTTGATGGTTTACTATTGTTAGATGGTGGTGGATAACTGGGGCGTCTATATTGGTATCCAGGTGGTTTAATGCACTTGACAGCATTTCCTGTAGTATCCAGTGCTAAGCACTTGTAATACAAAGGTGCATATTCTGGATCATCCATCTTCATAGAGTTGAGGTCTTTGATCATGCTGGCTATTTCTTCCTCATTTCCAGAAAATTTGACTTTGTTCTTGAGGGGAAGTTTCACCTTCTTGTCATGATCCTTTTTAGAAGTTGAAGTTGCTCTCTTTTTCTTCTTCTTCTTTCTATGATACTGAGCATAGTCAGAGTCACTATCAGAGTCTGAACCTGAACCTGAGTCTAAATCAGAGTCTGGTGCATAGTCATCATAGCCGAACTCTGAGGCATTCAGTAACATAGCCTCTGCCCGATTTCGTCTAAAGTACCAATCAGCGGCTGCATTGATTTCCTGCATAGAGTAAGAAGAACTGTCCTCTGTTGACCGTCCATGCAGGATGCGAGCCTCTAAAGCACTTCTCAAGTCTTTATTGACGCCAAGCCAGAAGTAACCATGATAGTGGTCATCTGAGATGCGTTTTTGGGAATAGAGTCCACCAGCAATAGTGTTGTACTGGATATTGTACTGTCTCCATTGACTCATATTGCCGACCCGAGACTTAGTTGCTTCCCGTGCAAAATTCACTACATCTGTGAAACTGTACTTGTGAAGTGCACGTTCAGCATCAAAGGTCTTTAAGATCTGCTTCTTTAGACCTCTCCAGTCTCGGGCGTGCAAATGATGTCAATGTGCGAATCACATTCTGCACATTAGGGGAACAGTAGTCCAAAACGAGTGTACATTGTTCTTTGGCATCAGTCACCTGGTTTTTCTTCAACAAGTGTTCGTAGTGCCGAATAAAACGTGTGACTTCGGAATATTTGCCCTTGAAAGTATGTGGTGCTTCCTTGGTCCCGGGTACAGGCATGTCTAGGAAGGAACGAGGAGGTGGACCAAAAGTGAAGGGCGCATTCATGCGTTTTGGAGCTGGTTCAGAGGAAGCCGAAGATTCTGAGCGTACCCAAGGCTTTATGTAGTCGGGTTCGTCATCAGTTTCATCAAGATCCACTAATGCACGTCCCTTGCCTTTTCGATCATGTAGGCGGCTCTTACTAGTGGATCCCTGAGATTGATTATGTCGGGAGAATTCAGCACGTTGCTGTTGGGCAGCAAGTGCTTCATCATAGGTGGTGTCCGGTGCGTGTGTGCCAGTAGGTTGTGTGTGACCGTGTTTAATTTCGTCAGTCCAAGCAGTCATATTATCTATGGTAGCGTGGATGGGGTAACCGTGGTTATTCGTAATTGTTGTCGTTAGGGAAGTTGTCGTAAGTGTATTCGTAAGTGTTGGCGGAAGTAAGGGTGTTGTGGTTAGGAGAGTTGTTATGATCACCAAAAAGATCCCTCGCGGTGGGCTCCAATGATGTCAAGTGGAAAAATTGTTTTCCTACGTAGATATCCGGAAGCGACTTTGTTCGGGAATATCCACGTATGTTCGTGGGATCCTGGTGACAAGGTTTCTCCTGAAAAGGAAGTAGGAAGGGGGTGTGGGGGAAGGGGGTTGAGCAACCTCACGCGCGCGGTGGCGGAGCGTAACTCGGGAACGTGTCGTGGGGGGGGGAAAGTGCTCAGGGTCTACTGTCGTTACAGTAGACAACAAACACTTCAATCGTAAAGGGGTGTCTAGACAAGGAACGTTTTCCAAGTGTAGACCGTTAACGTAACAGTATTAGGTTCAAGCCAATTGAACCTAGAGAGTGCAACTAAGTGAGAACACTCAATTACACCAAGGGGGGGTTTGGGGGTAAAGTCAGATAGCAAGTTTGTAGATACAGAATGGGGGTGCTACTGGCTACTTTATATACACATTCAGATGTGGCTGTGCAAACCTGTGTATGTACATAGCACAGATTAGAATGCTTCTTGGGTCTAAAATAGTAAGGGGTGAGTAGGGTTTCAGGCTATTATAGCTAAAAGCTGTAGCCTAGTGTCAATCATGTCAAAATTGCAGTGCAGAGACAGCACAGAGTTTCAAACTAATTTTTAGTTTGGACTTGTGAGGCAGTGCATAATGAGAAGACACAAGTCCGGAAAGTTGTGCATGTTTCATATGCCAGGTCATATGTCAGAGTTGGCAGACAGCTGACAGAGTGTCATATTGCTGTATTCCAAGTGTGATGACTAAGCTCTGCAGTGTGATGACTAAGCTCTGCAGCTGAAATCAGGCACATCTTCATGTCCATAGTGCATAGTCTCAGCTGGTGTGAATTTTCCCTGGAAAGTGAATCTCATGTGTGTTTCTGTATTCTTGCCTAACAATTTTCAGGCATGACACCGCGCCGACCGGTCAGCTGTCTACCTGCTGATTTGGGATTGGAATCATTGGAATAAAAAGTACACAGAGTCTGGCCGGTCTGTTTTGCAAACTTTTCTGCACCTGTCATATTAATTTGGTCTCTGGTAGCATTTAATGCTGTTATGACAGAGACATTATTGAAAATTGTATTATCAAAGTTACGCTCACCTCGATTTCGTTTGACCACTAAATTCTGCAAGAAGGATATATCCGAAGGAGTACACGCGCCAAATCGCATATTGGATAATACTTCCCGAAATTGTTGATTAGCTGTATTATCACTGTTCTGCCTCATATTCTCAGTCAGAATGACTACGGTATTCACCTGCTGCCACAAACATTTACCAATTACATTCATTTGATCAGTTAGAGTGGATTTTCTGTTTGAGGATGCACCAAGGTTCAAGTCTCCAGAATATAATGTCTTAGCCTTGACGGGAGGTAGCTGACCAAAGTCCCCAGCAAAAATCATATTCATTCCTCCAAAAGCTTTCAGCTGTTCATCTAATGCTACAGCTAACTTTGCACTAATGTGATACAATGCACTGCATGATATCATTGATACCTCATCAATAAATATATATTCTACCCCTATAAGGCGATCTCGTAGCTGTAACAATGACATTGCCCCTGTCGGAGAGTCATTGTTACCATCTCGGATGCCAAAAAAAGAGTGGTACGTGCTACCATTAATTAATGCAGCAGCCGTTCCTGTAGGAGCCAGTACAACAAATCGAAAAGACTCTTCCCGGCGTTCGAAAAATCGACTCAAAGCCTTTATAACCTGAGACTTACCCGTACCTCCTACTCCACCTAAATACATCTTGAGTTGTTCCGAAGAACAGGACATAGCATGATTAGTTATTATTCGATAGGCACGCAATTGGTCTGTATTTAATTGGAATTCTCTGGCTATAGCATCAGCCAGATGCTGTTCATTAGCATTTGCAGCTGTAAACGTATGATGCTTGTAATTAGCGTCAATAATTACAACTCCATCAGGAGGAGGAGGGACCCGACCTTTTGGATTTTTTCTTGCTGAGGCTTTTTTAGTCAGCAGATATTTTTCTTTTGCTGCAGCAAGCTGAGTTTTCCATGCAGACCCATTCATATAGGTAGACGGCTGATATCTTGAGCGAAGTTGAATATCTGGACTTAATCCTGTAGTCCAGCCTGTGCGAGACATAACTGATGTTGCATCAGCCATTATGTTGTCCCGGTTTATTTGCTTAGGTCCTTTCATATCCTCTGACATAGATTCAGTTGGAATATATGTGTCCAAGTCACCCTCTGTAATCACATCAGAATCATGTAGCCATGGTGCCTCCCCCATCAATGGCATTGCTCGTCTTCGCTGCCTATCTTGATGTGCATAATCATCCCTTGCATCATTACACTCATATTTCACATTAAAGTTATTCATAATGGAATTTGCTGCAGAGTCAAATTCAAATGACTCAAATGCTTCATGCCAAGTCTGCTCATTAGATTTCAGATCTAGACCAGATCGCCAAGGCTTGAATAAAGTTAGCATTGCAGTACAATAGAACTCCCGGTCTCCCTGATCACGTCGAGGTAAATAACCATATGTGAAATTTAAAACCATTTTGTCTAATAGACGATCATCACATTCAATATAATGCGAGCGAGCCAGCGGATGATCCGGTCGCAAAGCAAAAGGCCGGATGCGCTTGTTTAAATCCTCTTCAGATATACCAGACTCATCAAATGAAGGCCAATATGTCATTGAAGGGCAATCCGTGTCTGAAATTAAAGACGGAGGATTATTCATCGGAATTCGCTTACGTGAACACATCTGCATCCATCGATAAAGCGTAACATTAGAAAACCGGATTGGTCGGTGTATATAATCATCTACTCCAGTAACACCTACTATTTTTTCATCATTGTCTCGCATCAAAACTGCCTTATTGGTTGAATCTGAATCAATGACGGAATTATCTACTGCCATAGGGTTAGATGGTTGGGGGATATTAGAAGACTGAGTATCAGTGGGCCAACTTCTCAGTACTTCATTGACGTATGATCGCCAGGGGAAAACTTTAAATTGCATGTTGGTATAATGATCAGGTAATTGGAGTAAGGAGGCAGAAGCCATAGGTGCACCAATCTGCTGCATTGAAGTCAAACCATTTACCATCTGCATGATAATTGTCCTGTTATTCTCTTGCGCCGTAGGTGAACTTCCTATCGCAACAGTACGTTTCATTAGTACATCCCGGGCACTATTGAAGACGTGATACATCTTTAAAGAATTTTTTGATATATAATCGGTTACGTAAGCCACTACGGC